TTGATCTGCTACTGCAGATGAGGTTGACAAGTTTTATCAAAATCAGCAAAAATGGTGTTTTCTCCAAATTACTTGAAAGTGGCCTTTTAATGACACAACAGGCACAAAAGTTGGACTTCTACTGCATATTAGGCAGGAAAGGTGAAAATACACTTTAATGCCTCAAGTCTTGTTAAAAAATTGCTGCTATGCAATATTCCAAAAGTAATATTATGAATCGAATTAGTGATCAAAATTGACAATGACTGGGTGAACACAACATGATGGAGTTCTGAATAATATTTGGATTTTGCGTGAAATTGAAAGGAATTCGAAAAAAAAATGTATGTTTCACATGACAGAAAAGAAGATTCAATGTCTTTTGGCATTTAATTGGTTCCCTAAGCCTCAGCTACGCCTGTAGGCTCTTCTGCCTAGCAAAACAAGTAACTATTGAGTGATTATTAAAAAACGCTTTTTTTCTGAAACATGTGACTCCGTGTATCTCGAAAACGAAGCAATTTAGGATATATATATATGTATATATATACAGTGAGGACCAAAAGTTCGTCGCCCCCTTCGTAACTTCTTTATTGTAGATATTACAAAAAAATGTTAGAAACATAAGTTGAACGGTTTCAGTCAATATCTCCAATGCATCAAGTTTCATTTGTACAGAGTCTCTCAAAAAAGCGCAAGCGAAGTTTATTTTTTAAATAGGACATGCACCCTGTATATTATTGCATTATTAAATTCTACGTTGAAATTTGAGCATGTTTAATGAATGATTTTATATCAGAAAAGTTATTAATGGAATTATGGAATTATGAACACTGAACTACCCAGTTGACCAAAACATGCCGTAGCTTTATCCCTGCTGCATTTCAAATGTTCCATGTTTCATCACAGAGATGTTCCCATCAGAGATATAGCATAGATGAATGTCCGCCTCAAATGAAATCACAGACTTATATCAGTGATGCAACATCAGACTTGAATAAGATATGCTCCTGTGAGATCACAGTGATGGCTATGTATCTACATAGCTCTCTCCATGAGCATGCCAGAGACGTTTCTGATAAATCTGTGCTCTGCATTAGCTCCATCTCAAATCATCCATAAATTTATACTGGTTCCACCAGTATTTGAATCAGTTTCGAATGCAACACCATAATGTTTAGGATATATTCTTGGATTTTCAGATGTTGAAATCAAAAAATCCATGAATATACCCCTAAACACATGGAGTGGCATTCAAACGCCGCTACACGGGAATCAAAACCTGGTCTCTTCAGTATATTTTTGTACCTAGTATGCTTTCTGAAATAAAAATTGATGATTTTCCTCTCTTGAAGTCCAGCTGGAATAAAAATTCAATTTCAAACTAGTAGCTCCAACAACATATTGTGTAACAACCAAATTATTTTGCAAGCAACGTAAATGCATCCACTTGTAACCGTGAAGTTGGCCTAATTTGCTTAATCCGCCTTCGATAAAATTCACAATATCTTCTATTTTTGTATAATTCTTACGTCTAAATAATCTTGCATGGGACAGCATCCTCTTTAAAGTTCGAGGCGATAACACCTTCCCATGTAAAACTTTTACGAATTGTATGATTTCTTTTTGTTGAAATCCCATAGAAAAATATAGTGTGGCTAGCTCAATGGTACTTTGGTTCTGAAATAAGGATTTATATGCAATTCGATTTCATAATACACTGAAATACTATTCATTTACTTACCTTCGATTCAGGAGTACTCATTCTGGCGAATGATTTCAGAAGTTCTAGCTCAAAACAGGAAAGAACTTTCTTGCTGAAGCCTATTATGGTATTCTACTGATATTGCAGGCAGTTTCGGCATATTATCTCGTAATTCCGAGATAAAAGTCGGAATTCCGAGATAAAAGTCGGAATTCCGAGATTAAAGTCGGAATTCCGAGATAAAAGTCGGAATTCCGAGATAAAAGTCGGAATTCCGAGATAAAAGTCGGAATTCCGAGATTAAAGTCGGAATTCCGAGATTAAAGTCGGAATTCCGAGATTAAAGTCAGAATTCCGAGATTAAAGTCGGAATTCCGAGATCAAAGTCGGAATTCCGAGATTAAAGTCGGAATTCTGAGATCAAAGTCGGAATTCCGAGATTAAAGTCGGAATTCTGAGATTAAAGTCGGAATTCCGAGATTGAAGTCGGAATTCCGAGATAAAAGTCGGAATCCCGAGATTAAAGTCGGAATTCCGAGATTAAAGTCGGAATCATTAGAAAAATAAAATTTTAAAACAGTTTGGCCCTTCTGCGCTTCCGTAGGTACAGGAAAGAACTCTCTTGCTGAAGCCTATTGTGGTATTCTACTGATATTGCAGGCAGTTTCGGCATATTATCTCGTTATTCCGAGATAAAAGTCGGAATTCCGAGATAAAAGTCGGAATTCCGAGATTAAAGTCGGAATTCCGAGATTAAAGTCGGAATTCCGAGATTAAAGTCGGAATTCCGAGATTAAAGTCGGAATTCCGAGATTAAAGTCGGAATTCCGAGATTAAAGTCGGAATTCCGAGATTAAAGTCGGAATTCCGAGATTAAAGTCGGAATTCCGAGATTAAAGTCGGAATCATTAGAAAAATAAAATTTTAAAACAGTTTGGCCCTTCTGCGCTTCCGTAGAATACCATAATAGGCTTCAGCAAGAAAGTTCTTTCCTGTTTTGAGCTAGAACTCCTGAAATTATTCGCCAGAATGAGTACTGAATCGAAGGTAAGTAAATGAATAGTATTTCAGTGTATTATGAAATCGAATTGCATATAAATCCTTATTTCAGAACCAAAGTATACCATTGAGCTAGCCACACTATATTTTTCTATGGGATTTCAACAAAAAGAAATCATACAATTCGTAAAAGTTTCACATGGGAAGGTGTTATCGCCTCGAACTTTGAAGAGGATGCTGTCCCATGCAAGATTATTTAGACGAAAGAATTATACAAAAATAGAAGATATTGTGAATTTTATCGAAGACGGATTAAGCAAATCAGGCCAACTTCACGGTTACAAGTGGATGCATTTACGTTGCTTGCAAAATAATTTGGTTGTTACACAATATGTTGTTAGAGCTACTAGTTTGAAATTGAATTTTTATTCCAGCTGGACTTCGATAGAGGAAAATCATCAATTTTAATTTCAGAAAGCGTACTAGGTACAAAAATATACTGAAGAGACCAGGTTTTGATTCCCGTGTGGCGAAGACCAGCTGGTTAGGCCAATCTGAGAGTTTTCGCAATAATGACAGGTGAACACTTGTTTTGTATACTTTTATTTGCACTGAAATATTATTCATTCTAGTTTTAGTCAGCCCGACTAAAGATTTTTATCTCGATTTTGATGGAAAAATGGTTGGAGAGAACAGTAAAAACAAAACAATGATCTCCCATGAAAATGAATGATAACTTTTCTATACATCACTTCCAAGAGATGGAATCTGCAGGTAAAAAGGAAATAAATGAAGGAGTTATGGAAGAAAACCATGCTGTGATCATCATGATAACTGGGAACGCCCTGTATGGGTATATATTATATTTCATATTTTAATTTTACATATATTTTGAGGTTTGTTTAGTAATTTGTCAATGGATTGAAATAAAGTTTACATTTTTACTCCTTTTGTTTCACTGTTTTGAATGCCACTCCATGTGTTTAGGGGTATATTCATGGATTTTTCGATTTCAACATCTGAAGATCCAAGAATATATCCTAAACATTATGGTGTTGCATTCGAAACTGATTCAAATACTGGTGGAACCAGTATAAATTTATGGATGATTTGAGATGGAGCTAATGCAGAGCACAGATTTATCAGAAACGTCTCTGGCATGCTCATGGAGAGAGCTATGTAGATACATAGTCATCACTGTGATCTCACAGGAGCATATCTTATACAAGTCTGATGTTGCATCACTGATATAAGTCTGTGATTTCATTTGAGGCGGACATTCATCTATGCTATATCTCTGATGGGAACATCTCTGTGATGAAACATGGAACATTTGAAATGCAGCAGGGATAAAGCTGCGGCATGTTTTGGTCAACTGGGTAGTTCAGTGTTCATAATTCCGTAATTCCATTAATAACTTTTCTGATATAAAATCATTCATCAAACATGTTCAAATTTCAACGTAGAATTTAATAATGCAATAATATACAGGGTGTCCTATTTAAAAAATAAACTTCGCTTGCGCTTTTTTGAGAGACTCTGTACAAATAAAACTTGATGCATTGGAGATATTGACTGAAACCGTTCAACTTATGTTTCTAACATTTTTTTGTAATATCTACAATAAAGAAGTTACGAAGGGGGCGACGAACTTTTGGTCCTCACTATATATATATATATATATATCCTAAATTGCTTCGTTTTCGAGATACGCGGAGTCAAATGTATCAGAAAAAAAGCGTTTTTTAATAATCACTCAATAGTTACTTGTTTTGCTAGGCAGAAGAGCCTATAGGCGTAGCTGAGGCTAGGGAACCAAATGCCAAAAGACATTGAATCTTCTTTTCTGTCATGTGAAACATACATTTTTTTTTCGAATTCCTTCCAATTTCACGCAAAATCCAAATATTATTCAGAACTCCATCATGTTGTGTTCACCCAGTCATTGTCAATTTTGATCACTAATTTGATTTATAATATTACTTTTGGAATATTGCATTGCAGCAATTTTTTAACAAGACTTGAGGCATTAAAGTGTATTTTTACCTTTCCTGTCTAATATGCAGTAGAAGTCCAACTTTTGTGCCTGTTGTGTCATTAAAAACCCACTTTCAAGTAATTTGGAGAAAACACCATTTTTGCTGATTTTGATAAAACTTGTCAACCTCATCTGCAGTAGCAGATCAAGTGATTAACGTTTGAGACGTCTGGTAATGAAGAAAACACGTAAGTATCGAATAAAAAAAGTACACAATTCGGTCATTATTTGATCATCATATATTATTATCATATATAAGTGGCAAATTAAGTCAGATTCAGAATTGTGAGAACAAAAACTGAATTCAATTTTTAAGCTCCAAGTATAAATCTACAGTTTCATATGGATCAGAGAAGCGTGTAAAACCATTTTCCTCCATTTCTATAGAGCACAGATCATGAAAATCTTTATCACATGGCGTTTCGATGAATTTGCACTCAGATGAAAGAGTTTCAATCGCAAATGGAGGTATGGTGACAAGGTGATCATAAGCCCCATAAACACTGGGCATTTCTTACATTATAGCTGGTCTTCCGGCTGGAGCAATGGCATTTCTGGTTTTCCGAATTCTGTGAACATTCCACTCCAAAGAGATCTGATCAAGATCGTCCTGAAAGAAATAGAGCGAAATAATGTGAAAATTCTTATAGATTATAGTTAGAGTTTAGCAAGAAGAACAAGAACAGTGTGTCATTTCTTCCAATTTACTCTTATGTGATTCGATTAATTATTATGTTACGTATATTTTGGGAGATGAATAGTATCTATTCGAAAATGGAGATGGTACTTACTTTAGGATCGCTTGTAGTAAATCCTGCTTTGAGCCAGATTATGTGTCTGGAAAATCCATCTATGCAAACATTTATGCAGATGTCATGAGGCTTAAGTTTATCATATGAATCAACGTGCCATAAATAATTGGGTCCTTCACTGCGATATTGTCTTCGACGTAATCGTTTTTTTCGGCGGAATTCAACTCCCTCTGGATCGAGTAGCTTCAATATATCTCTAATAACATATTGTGTTACAACCAAATTATTTTGCAAGCAACGTAAATGCATCCACTTGTAACCATGAAGTTGGCCTGATTTGCTTGATTCGCCTTCGATAAAATTCACATCTTCTATTTTTGTATAATTCTTTCGTCTAAATAATCTTGCATGGGACAGCATCCTCTTCAAAGTTCGAGGCGATAACACCTTCCCATGTAAAACTTTTAGGAATTGTATGATTTCTTTTTGTTGAAATCCCATAGGAAAATATAGTGTGGCTAGCTCAATGGTACTTTGGTTCTGAAATAAGGATTTATATGCAATTCGATTTCATAATACACTGAAATACTATTCATTTACTCACCGTCGATTCAGGAGTACTACTCATTCTGGCGAATAATTTCCGAAGCTCTAGCTCAAAACAGGGAAGAACTTTCTTGCTGAAGCCTATTGTGGTATTCTACTGATATTCCCGCAGTTTCGGCATATTATCTCGTAATTCCGAGATAAAAGTCGGAATTCCGAGATAAAAGTCGGAATTCCGAGATAAAAGTCGGGATTCCGAGATAAAAGTCGGAATTCCGAGATTAAAGTCGGAATTCCGAGATCAAAGTCGGAATTCCGAGATCAAAGTCAGAATTCCGAGATTAAAGTCGGAATTCCGAGATAAAAGTCGGAATTCCGAGATGAAAGTCGGAATTCCGAGATTAAAGTCAGAATTCCGAGATTAAAGTCGGAATTCCGAGATTAAAGTCGGAATTCCGAGATTAAAGTCGGAATTCTGAGATTAAAGTCGGAATTCCGAGATTAAAGTCGGAATTCCGAGATAAAAGTCGGAATTCCGAGATAAAAGTCGGAATTCCGAGATAAAAGTCGGGATTCCGAGATAAAAGTCGGAATTCCGAGATTAAAGTCGGAATTCCGAGATCAAAGTCGGAATTCCGAGATCAAAGTCAGAATTCCGAGATTAAAGTCGGAATTCCGAGATAAAAGTCGGAATTCCGAGATGAAAGTCGGAATTCCGAGATTAAAGTCAGAATTCCGAGATTAAAGTCGGAATTCCGAGATTAAAGTCGGAATTCCGAGATTAAAGTCGGAATTCTGAGATTAAAGTCGGAATTCCGAGATTAAAGTCGGAATTCCGAGATAAAAGTCGGAATTCCGAGATTAAAGTCGGAATTCCGAGATTTAAGTCGGAATCATTAAAAAAATTAAATTTTAAAACAGTTTGGCCCTTCTGCGCTTCCGTACTTTTCAAACTATCCCACTGACTGATTTCATTCATTAGATACCTTCCCGATTGGAAGTTAGACATGTTTTTCCGTATAGTTTCAATGTCATCAGAACGTCAGATGATGATCTTGACTACCGCGAATAGGAGATTCCTTATTGCTACGTTATTGCGTGGTTGTTGCTATGCATTTCTTATTTAATTTTAGCTAGAGGGAATTATAGCATCAATAACATCCCAAGGGAGTTATGACCCTCATTATAGATATCGTAACTATGACGATATAAGCTTATAATGTCACTGTCAGAAATAAACAAATTTAAAATCGTTCTTCATTCGCAAAGTACATACATATAAGAAGTTTGTTGAGCAGTTTATTTGGTAACGTCGCACACTATTTAGTTTGATCATATTTTTATCGGTGAATCATGGTGAACCACATGATCTGTCGCTCAGTAATTGTGGGGTCCTGATGGGAATCACAAAATAAACGTTCATGGGGTTTTCCATATTTAGACCTTCGTTGGTTCAATGTCTTGCAATGAATGAAATGAACCACACATCACACTTTCTAATCATCAGATTAAGTAAAATGAATAATTTCTCATTGACCCGAGCATGCATAGTAATAATATGCAAAAATTGAACTCACTGATCAATGATCATATCTTGAACAATAATCCTTTTTGTCCCTCATAGAACTGGGATAGCATTGGTATACTTTTATATACACACCAGCAAAACAAACTGGCCAGCATTCTGGTGAATCGTAGCTCTTGAAGGCAGGACGAATAAGACTGAGCTTCTGGAGTTCATCCCGAAGATGCTCTATAGGTTCTGGATTATTGCTCTTGAAAATTTAAAAAATCCATACTTTTTGAAACATTTTCATCTCCTCTTAGATTATTTTATTTAGATCAGAAGTGACACCTCTGGCGAAGCCAAGTGAAAGCAAAATTTGCGAGTCAAACAAAGTCACTTTTGATCCGAATGAAACATGCTATTTTTTTCTGCAACCGAAAGAATCAACTGAAATAAATATGTGAAGTAACCACCAATGTGACTTACCTGACAGATTATTACAATACCTTTATTTTAATAACTAGATAGATAGTATGCTTGCTCACTAAATAGGGAAAACTCGCCATAAAAATCATATTTCCTGTTGAATTTTCTATCTTAAAATGTGTCAGTGAAGTACATCATGAGTATATGAAGTGTCCAATGACAAAATAATAAGAGCAAGTACCTGTAAATGCATCCAACACAAGGGGGAAAAGATGGCAAAATTTCGAACTTTTTCTTGAAATATCTCGATGAATAGTGGTTTGTTCACATTTTCATTATGAAATTCGTGTTTTTCAGACGAAAATACGTAAGTACCAAAAAAAAATTTTATAGATATAGGTAGGTAGATAGAAGCGATACCTCAGACTTCTTTACATCAGAATATTGGTGAAAATTGACTTTACTTTGTTACAATTTGTGATGACATGCATCATCAGATACTACAGGCACGAATTCAATACTATACCCGCCCGAAACGTGAATGCCGTGCCATATGTACGCAATGCAACAAATAATCCGTGTGGTGAGAATATTCTACCTGCATTTACAGATCAGGTTTAATCGATTTTCAAAGATTTTCGGATTGTAGTTCCAATATAAATACAAACACAGAGTGACTCATTTGTGTATTCTATTGAATCGATGAATAGATGAATTCATTTGGACCAGGTGTCTGCCCCAATAGCAAATACCGCGTCAGTGCCAGGTATAGGAAAAATAAGTGGAAAATGTTAGGTTAGTGAGCATATCAAAAATAATAATAGCGATTATTTATTTCTCTCCATATTCCACTGTGCTTGGCTCGGTAATCAAATAAAGATAAACAATACGGTCGTGTGAGACCGTGGTTATTCAAAAACAAGTTATCCAATCAATCAGATCCCGAGAATGTATGAAATACAGATCAAGCAAGTATGTAAATCTTGATGACTTTCCTGATCAAAACAAAAATATTTAACTATAATATGGTGTATTTATATCTCCAGCGTGAGTATGAAATGCCAAATCTGCCGAAATCGGGAACAAATCACGTATGCGTCCCAACCCAAATAACCAACCATAACAATGTTGTTCATTCTTGCTGACCTAGTACATCCTTTTTAGTTCCTAGGAGCTAATATTTAACTTTAGCTCCTAGGAACTGAGAATGTTGCCCATCAGCAACATACCTCTGTTTGTGTCAGTAATAGATACGTCAGTTCGAAAGCTAATTTTGGTATCAAAATGGACAATTTTCCTGTCGGTTGCAGAAAAAAGATGACGTTAATCAATATATGATGTGTTAAGAAGGGACGAAAAGAGACCACACTTCGATCCAGAACATGATTGAGCATAATGTTGGAGAATGGTTCTCGATTATTGTTGATAAAAAATAAAAAATTATAGAATTTCTTAAAACACTTGTGTCTTCTCTTATGAAGAAGATATTGACGTGAATGAAAAACCTTCAGATTATCAACCATTGTGATGAGGAGGGATGACACTTCATTACTTCAATCCAAACCATGAAGTAGTAGGGGATCCGGAGTGAGGTCGACCTTCGCCTATCTGTTCAATGGATGAGAATTATTTTATAAGTAATTTAGTATGTTGAAAATTATAAAATAATGGGTTGCCTGAAAACATCCTGGCGATGCTATAACTAATTCAAAATTCAAAAATCACTTTTTTCTAATTTCTACCGATGTGTCATCTCTTGATACCAAATCAAAGAATCTTTCTAGAACTGTTTCAAATTACATCAGAATTATGCATCGTTACGTTTCATTTGTTGAGTTGTTTATAATCATAGGTGTCACACTGTTTACCTCCTTATGTAATAAGCCCTGAAGATATTGTTCATTCCTTTTATATTCATGAAAAGCACACATAATTTCTATATAATTTAATCCAATGAGAATTTACGAAGTTGATATACAGTGTGTCCCTAAAATATCCTTATAAAAAAGTACCAAATATTCCTCAGGCTAAAACAGTTCGATACAAGTAAACTCACCTCAGAACAACGTTGTTTAGTTTGGACGCTAGACGGCTCTGGAGTTACAATTTTCATAATGAATATCATTTCATAGGCTTATTCTTGAGGAAAAGCATTATTGATTCAACCATGATATGGCGCTCTTCAATAGGCCCAACCAAATATTTGTTTGATTTTTCTACAGAACTTTCTTGACTTTTTCATGGAAGAAGATCTTGATTCGAATATTATCACAGTACGTATTGATCGAAGAAAGAATTAATTAGTTTGAAATAAGAAAATTCTTCTATTGTCAAGTTAATCTTCCATCGAATTTGAACAATTTCGTTTTGATCTTGAATCAAGGAATTGCGAGCTTGTTACAAATATATAGGGTTGTCCAAAAAAAACCGGAATTTTGTTTATGTCTGATAACTTTTTCATTTATTGGCCGATTTGATTGATTTTGGTCTTGTTCGAGAGAGAATTGATCAAGGCAGTCCGTTGATAGCAAATTTTTCATATTCGTTCAAAAAACAAAATGGCGGAGTCACCTAAACTTGGTACAATTTGAAAACTTGCTGGAACTTTTTTAAGTCGCACTGTATATCGTTTCGTGTGAGAATCTGGAATTTTGGACATTTCTGAATAGAACAAGTTGTCGAACATGATAATCCGTCGAAAAATACCTGATATATGACAGGATATAGACATGTATGTTTTCACATTTTGTTACCAATTTTTCATTGAAATCGAGGCGGCGTATGTCAATCATCGCTTTTTGTGTTGTTGATTCTTGTTATTTGTAATTATTGACAGCTCTTGAATTGACTTTTTGAGATAGAAATCACTTCATTTTTGCTTTCTAAAGTGTATATAATGGCGCTTTCCAATGACGATAAAATTTTTATCAAAACTTTAATTCTGAGAGGATACAGAGTGAGTGATATTTTACAACATTTTGCTGTCGAGCGGTATAAAAAAAGTACAATTTACGATTTCGTAAAGAAATTTAACTTGACACACTCCATTGCAAGACGCGAAGGAAGTGGGCGGCCAAGGAGTGTCAGAACACAGGTTGGTAAGCTAGGTGCTATCATTGTATGTCTTATGATCTACCAAAACTCATTTC